CCACCAGATCACACGCACGACAGTTAAGAAGTTCCTCTAGGCCCTCGGATAAGGACCTGAGAGATCCTGCCACTGCACAAAATACTCAAATGTCTGCAGCTAGTCGATTCAAATCTGCCTTTTCGAAAAAATAAGAGTAGCTGGAGGAGACTAATTTGATCTTCTCTCTCTCCTTTCATTTTCTCTCTTGTAACATCTTCTGACATGTCAAGGGAGTGTATTATAAAAAACTAACTTACCAAATCTTCTAGTTCATCGCAAGATTAATGTCTTCTACTACTTCTTCTCGAATCTTGTTCTCATGCACAGTCCCGTGTGTGTGTATATGTGTGTGTCCTCTCTCTCTCTCTCTCTCTCTCCTGATCAAAGGGATCATCTTCTATTTGTTGTTTTCTTTTTATTAAGTTTCTTGCATGTCACGTGTGTGTGTGTGTGTGTGTGTGGCCCTAGTTGTGATACAAACCATTCAGTGTTCATTGCAATGCAATGGTTGGACATGTACACACACACACACTCATATTCTCTCTCTCTCTCATTTTGGGTTCATTTCTTCATTCATACGTTCCTTCTCTTCATTATTCATTAGTGCTCAGCTCTCTCTCTTTATTATTATTTTGTTTCATCTCTTCCTCTACACTGTGTATTATTATTATTATTATTAATTGTGGTATTTCTATTATAATAATAATTAAAACTTTACAACAGTAAAGAAGAGATAACAAGCGAGTGATGTATAATAACAAGAAAATAATTATTTTTTATCAGTATGGTGTCAATAAAACAATAATTATTAATTGTAAGTGAGTCCTTTTGATGTTAAGGAGTAGCTCCATCAGCTACAGCTCCTGTTCCATTTGAAAGCACCATCCTATTGGTCTCCTCATGTACCTTTCTCTCATACTCTCTTATGTCCTCCATTGTTAGTCCTACAAGAATAGAAATACAAGAAATTGAAGTTTAATTGATGCTAATACAATAATGCTTGGAACTTTGAATCTAGTCTTGTAACTGACTGACCATGCCACTCATCTATCCATAGGAAAGCTTGCTTGTGCCCTTTCAAGATGATATCTCTAACAGCCTGTAAGAAAGAAAGGACAATTGAGATGTAGTATGTTATTACAGGTACAGGAAAGAGGCAGTGATTGATGGAGTAGCTTATACTAACTCACTCTATGAACGCCAGCCTCAACACGAGTCTGTAGTCCCCACACCTCAAAAAAAACTTTCACAACTTTGTACGAGCACATAATTGGCTCTGTTGACTCCTGAGGACATACAAAGGAAGTGTGTGTGTTAAGAGATTGGAATGTATGAATAACAAAACGTGTCTATAAGTGAAAATATTAGAGGTGGGAAAGATGAAGTTTGAAAATAGGACAAACACTGTTACAATAGGCTATAGGCAAATCAAAAGTGAAACATTGCAGGTTTAATAGCATTCTGACTTTTTCATAATTGACTTTAATAACAAGAGATAAATTATGGCGGTCTTCATTTTCGTTATGTTTGGTTTTAAATCAGACAAACTAACCTTCCATCCTTCCTGCAGTGGGCCTCGTCCTGTTTTACTGGATACAAAAGCGTGACAGTCCTCCTCGGGAGTTGTTTCACGAGACGAAAACTCGTCACTCAAGATATCGACGTGATCGACCTCTCTCTGCTCCAGCAGGTCAGGGGCAAGGTCCAGGGCGTTCTCCGAGGACCCATTGTTATCTTGATAAGTGGTATCAATTTGAATGAGGAATCGAGGTAAGAATGAGCACTGAGAGAGAAGAAGAGAGAGACAGTAAAAACATTTGTCTTTACCATAACAGGATGTGCATAACTTCTTTGTATGTTTATGCCAATCTACAAGACTATAACATCTTCCTCTCAATCTCTTCATTCTTATCTACCCTCTTCCTTTTGTAATGCACTTATGCGTGTATGAGTGACACATTACACAGTGTATGAGTGACACATTACACAGTGTATGAGTGACACATTACAATGTTATTACTACTAATGTGTCCTGTGTGTATATAATGATTTACTGTATATTCTGCAGACATAGTCACAACATCAGGATGGACCAGTGATGTAATAGGATTATTGATGATGTAAATGATGGTGACAATGACGACAGTTGCATACAAAGTAGAAAAGGAAGTACAATACAGTAATGATATCCTGTTTCCAGGAGGTTACAATCACAGGGCGCACATGCAGGAATTAAACTGACCTGTCAGAGTATAAGGATAATAATTCCAGGACTTCTCTATTATGTAAAATACTCTTGGCAGCATAGATTGAACCCAAGTGGGAAGCCGACTGAGAGAGAGGGAGAAGAAAAATAGAATTCTATGCTAATAAATGATACTGTTTACAATCAAATAGCATATTTGGCTTGAATTACAAGTTACATTGTATGAAAGTGTGAGAGTGTGTCTTTATAAAAAGATTTGAACAAAGCCTCCAACTTTTGCAGTTCATTCATTCACTCATTCATCTCTCTATTCATAGCTGTGACAGTTGTGTTAATAACTAATTACTCCCTCTCCCTCCCTCCCTCTCACTCACTTGTGTAGGTAAATCCTTTTCTCTGTGTACTGTCCCTCTCCTCTTTGGGGGTCAGTGCATGGTTCATTAACAACCACCTCCACCCCTTCACCATCACTGCTCTCCTCTTTACTGTGTCTTGCTATCATATAGAGCTGGCCCAACCTGTACTGTAATGGAAAGGACCATGAGGACTATAGCTAGGAGAATTATGCACCTCTTACCTCCTCCACTGTGATTGGCATACATATCCTGTACTCTTTTAGTAGCATCCTTTGTTGCTGGTACGGGGAGAATGAGAGAAAGAAGGAAAGTTTATAGGCGATACAGGGAGGACTGGAAGTAGCTGGGCTAGGTAGTTAGAAGAGTTCTCTTCTCTCTAGCTATCACTCTCTTGAAGGAAGTTCATTGACAGCTATAAACTGTACTGCTCCTCATTAATTATTCATTGAAAGGAAATTAATTAACACAGATCTAATTAGTAGGATTACCGTATCTCTTCTATTTCAAGGAATAAAATTAATTTGTGCGAGCTTTCTGAAATCCTGAGCCGCTGCTGCATGCAAAGAGGAGGGAAAAGTGCTCGTTTTGTTTGCTAAAACTTTAAAGGTAAGCTGCTTTAAACTGCAGTCAAATACCTCACTAAAGCTTTATTTTTTATAGTTGCATTTTCTAAAGGATGGATATGCTGGTCAGCAGCAGAGCCGCTGGGCTAGGAGGCGGTGACCCACTTTATTCCGTCCCACCTACCAACCTTGTAGCAATGGCGTCTTATCCAGCTATAGTCCTTGCCATGTCTCCAGATGATGGTTCAACGGATTCCTCTTCCTCAACAGCTCTCTCTGATTACACGGAGCTCTTCTCTGAGATGAGACAAGAAGGCCCATTGATTGGAGGTTGTATAATATATCAACTCCCTCCAGAAGAGACCGGTGAAGAGCCCATCGTCACGAAAGACCCAGCCCTCCTTCCTGCCCGAGGGGAAGAGGAACCTCCTTCAATTGATCGCCTTGGTTCTGACCCGATTGACCCCGAGTCAGCGTTTGTCGTTGAAGAGAAATGTGTTCCAATCGAAGACATGACTACCGTTAATTATTGGGACCTGGTTGAGACCTCGTCTCATGGGGGGAGCTCGGAAGGGGGAGGAGTTGAAATGATCTGCTGCTCTGATCCAGAGATTGAAATAGTCATTATAGAGAGGAAGACCAACCCCACTCCACCCGTCCCTCTCTCTCCTCGTCAAGAGGTTTCTAATCAAGACGAAGAGTATAGCAATAGACTCAACGACTTGTGCAATATCCAATGTGAGATGGACTTGGATTCATCCCCGTCTCCTTTTAACGTTGAGAAAGAGGGAACAACGATTGTTGACGATATTTTAACGTCTTTGGTTGAAGTTCCAATAACCGAGCCAGCAATTAGTGGAGAGAGAGAAGAAGAAACAGGAAAAGAGACAAAGGACATTGAAATCAAGAAAAAAAAGAAAGAGAGTAAAGATCCTTTAAAGCAAAGTCGCTCTCGGAAGCATAAGCGAAGATCAAGGAAGATCAGGTCTACTTCACCAACGAGCCATTTTGTAAGACGTAGCATACGACCGAAACAGGAAGTGTCTTATAGTGAAAGGAGGCAATATAAGCCTCGTATGGCTCCTAAAACTAAATCTATACCTTCTTCGCCTCCTTTCTCTCCTCCATCTTTTTCTCCTTCCCCACCTCGCCCTTGCTCATCTTCTTTCTCTTCTCCCCCTCCTTCCTCCCCTCCTACTCCTCTTGCTCAGGCTCAATCTACTCCATTTTCCTCATCAGCTTCACTTCCTTTATTTGATGACAGTGCAATTAATGATGAAGAGAATGAGACCTTTGACAATATGGAAGAAAAACAACCAGAGCAAACTGACTTAGTATCAACAGTAGAGATTAGCACTGTCACTGATGCTGATAGTACACAGGAAAATGAAATAGAGAGTAGCAGCAATGGAGGTGAGGCTGAACCAGTTACTGAGAGTCTTCAAGAAGAGGATATTGAAACAGGAGATATTGAAACAGGAGCACCAAATGAAGTTGAGGGAGAATCTGGTATGAGCATTAGCTTGGATGGTAATGAAGGAGTTGCTATAGAGGAGGAGAGCCTGACTTGCCAGGAAAGAGACAGGGACATATTCAAGAATGAAGGAAGGGAAGAGAGTAATGAAGAGAGAGCAGCCATACCAGAAGAAGAAGCAGAACCTAATAATAATGGTGATAATGATGATACTCCTGCAGGAGCAATAGAAGAGGAATCCATGACTGCAGTAGAGCCTAATAATAATTATGATTGTGATACTGCAGGAGCAATAGAAGAGGGGTCACTTACTCCAGTAGATAATGAAGAGCTGCTACCTTCATGCCCTGAGGTGAGCGACGAGAATAAGACTGACACTACTGAAGACAAAGAAATATCAAATATCATGGAGGAAGAGAAAGAGAAGGAAACAGAAGAAGAAGGTAGAGTTGTCGTACCAGATCCTACAATGGCCGTTGACTGTAGCACTATGGATGATTTAATGGAGAATGAGAAAAGTATCGAGTTAAGTTTTGTTAACACATCAAATGCAGAGTCAGAAGATATCATTGAGCTGAATGCACCTACTGAAGACAGTATCATTGAAGGAAACGAAACAACGAATTTGTTACTGGTAAATAATGAAGAAACTGTAAACACAAACAATTCATTAAACACAAACAATGAAGAATCAGTAAACACGAGCCAAGGAGAAGCAGAATGTGACATTGAAGAGAGAGTGGACAGGGAGAGCTGTCATCAATGGACAGTAAATGAGGGAGAGTCAATGGAAGAGATGACAACTAACAGACAAAAATTTGAACTAGCAGACAATGAGAGTGACAAATCACCAGATGAAGAAGAATACATTACTGAGGAGGAGATTGGGAATGATGATGAGGAGGAGGAGGAAACTGACTGGAGCAAGGAAGAAAAAGAGGAGGAGATATGTCAGTTGGAGAACAATTCAATATTGAACGAGGAGCTGAATGAGGGAGAAGATACTGGAGCTGCTGAATATCAAGAAGCAAATGATTCCATTGATAAAGAAGAGGCCACTACTGTTTGTGATTCAATGCTGACTAGGGAAGATGATCCTTGTACTGATACTGCTGCCATTAGTAATAAAGATGAGGATACAGTTGGAGAGATTGGCAATACACCTACTGCTCTTACTAGTGAGATTGAGTCCCTAAACGAGACAGTACCAGAAACCCGAGACTCTACTCCCCTTCCTCCTACCTCTCCTGCCCCTGCCCCTCCTCCTCCTCCTGTCCCTTCTTCTCCTCCTCCTCCTGTCCCTTCTTCTTCTCCTCCTCCTGTCCCTTCTTCTCCTCCTCTTCCTCCTCCTACTGTTCCTCCTTCTCCTCCTCGTGCCCTTTCTCTTCCTCCTGTCCTTTCCTCTCTTGTCTCTTCTTCTCCAGTCTCTTCTTGTCCTCTTGATTCTTCTTCTCCTCCTACTCCTTCCTCTCCTCTCCTTTCTCCTCCTCCTTCCTTTGCTCCAGCTTTCCCTATTTCTCCTGCAAATTATAACCTAGCCTCTCCAATATCCTCTGTCTCTCTCTCACCAGAACAAAATGAAAAAGAGCTTCAGTCACAGTTGGATGACAATGAAGGAGTCTTGAACGTCACTGAAGCTTTTGATGATGATGATGATGATGAATTCCCTGTTCAGCCTGAAAGTAAATATCATTACATTTTTTGTTGAATCATGTACATGTACTACAATGTGATATAATAATGTATACTTCATTTTTTTTCACCTCAAAGTGGATGCCCTGTAAAATTGCCAGAAGAGAACTTTTTGTGTTTTTCATGATTTTTTAGATACATGCTATGTAGAAAGTTTGAGCTGATTCCTCCAAAGAATTTAGGAGTTATGAGCATTTTTTTAAATGAGCCAATTTTTGAAAAATACCCAAGGCTATAGCCCATGGTTTTTTCCAAAAAATGGTTCCAAAATCACCCCAAATTTTTATCACATTTTCTGATACACATTCATATTCTTATGCTATGTAGAAAGTTTGAGCTGATTCCGCCAAAGAATTTTGGAGTTATGAGCATTTAAAAAAACGAGCCAATTTCCAAGGCTATAGCCCATGGTTTTTTTTTTGAAAAAATGGCTCCGAAATCACCCCCAATTTTTATTACATTTTCTGATAGACATTGATGTGCTTATGCTATGTAGAAAGTTTGAACTGATTCCGCCAAAGAATTTTTGAGTTATGAGCATTTTTAAAAATAAGCCAATTTTTGAAAATTACCCAAGGCTATATAGCCCATGGTTTTTTCCAAAAAATGGCTCCAAAATCACCCCAAATTTTTATCACATTTTCTGATACACATTGATGTTCTTATGCTATGTAGAAAGTTTGAGCCGATTCTGACAA